TTTTTAGGCTGTGAGCTTAAGTGATAGCTTTATGCTAAAACATAGCATTTAAGATGTCTCAAAAGCTCATATAAAACACCCTGGACTGCTTTATGTTCAATTTCTTCTTCTACTACTACTGTAATTGTAAGTAAGGCATCTTTTGTCTGTTTGCTATGCCTTAGATCTGATTTTCTTAGCAGCTCTGCTTCAAAATATATAGTTTAACAGAACTGACAGTTTTTATTTTTACATGAAGTATATAAGCAAACAGATGCGTATTTCTCATCATAGCTGTTCTTTAGTTAATTCCAGAGCTTGTCAAAATACTATTATAACCTAATCTAACTTACTATGAAAACTAGCAAGGTAATTAAAAGTTGAATTTCTGCAGAAGTGACATACCTCTCTCCACTCCCAATAATGTAATTATCGTAGCTTCAGGTCCATTGGAGCTTGATATAGGAACAGAAAGATTAGAAGCAAATATTTTACCGTATACTTCCCTAAAAGACACTTGAGAAAGTCAAAGTCTTGAGAAAGACTTTTGAGAAAGTAAAAGTCTTTAGGTGCATAATCTCAGTTTACTATAATTGCAAAAATGGATTGATATGGAAATTTTCACTTTTTCAAGTGTATTTTGTTATCGCTTGTAACAAAATAATGAAAAAGAAGAAAATAATGAAATGCAAAGATAAATATAATGCAGATACATACAAAAACTAGGGACAGTGTTTTTATTAAAAAAAATAAAAACAGGAAAAAGGGTAATAAATAAAATATAGTTATATAATAAAGACCCCAGTTTAAGAATAGGTTCCAGTCCCAAGCAGTGTCTTAAGTCCAATTTGTATGTAAGCCAGAACAGAATTATTATATAATGCTGTATAAATAGTATTGTTTAATGAACCTGAACCATCGTGTATTTAATTTGAATTATTGTGCATTTAACTCACATTTTGCTACAATACGTTCCATTCTTAACCATGGGCGGTCTTTAAACAAGGGTGTTCTTAACCTGGAAACTTGGTGTACATCATTATAGCAATTAACAGTTATAATGCTGTATTATAAAATTGTAACTGGAAATTTCCACTCTTGTAAATATAATTGGAAAATATTATTACGCTCCCTAACATTAGGTTAATCTTTTTTAGATTAGTAGACATATGTAGTAATTCTGCATAATCTGTGATGAAGAAAAATATTATGTGCATGTCAGTCAGAGACATATCCTTTCTATATTATTTTAGGTTTTTTTTAACTAAGGGCCATTTTTTACTTAAGCCTGAATGATATTAGCTGGGTGATACTATGAAAAATTGTAAGATACTGGATTGGCAATATCTTTTTCTGCTAAGTGCAAGGTGTTTCCTTTAGCCAGTCCCTCCTAGTGCCCTATAGTATCTTCATTGTATCAACTAGCCATTTTAAAATGATATAAATTCTACACTAATTGGTGTTAGTTGCTAGTGATGGTTAGATGACTAGAGTATAGAAGATGTTATACATTGCAAATAAGATAACCTTTATCTCTCAGCTCTTGCCAACACAAATTTAAGTCATCCTTGGCTGTTCCAGGGCTAAACTAGCATTTCACCCTTAATCTAACATTGCCCAAGGGAATATACGGATGTATAAAATCTGGTAGGCTTTGTTACCCTTTACGTAGGAGAGAAGGCAGGGAAGGGAGGTAATAGTGCAGGATAGAAACTTTCAATGTGGACAGCAACTTTCAAAGTAATATAATTTTGAGATACAACTTTATTTTAAAAACAGATCTGTAGAAAACCTTCAGCCAACCAGCAGGGTAAAGCGCTAAGCCTTGGTGGTGATAGCTCTCTTAAGTCATTGCTCAAACTAACCCTCGCAAACCCAGTTAATGTTAATGTGGCTGAAATTTTATTCCCACACCAAGAAAATCAGAAGATGATTTTGTGCAGGGACCCAATTCTTGGTTATATTAATGATTTGAATTGTTGTTTCTCGGATGGTTGTATTTTAATTTTTATAGTGTTTGTTATTGTTTTTATTTTAATTCTGTTCACTGAGATGGGTGGCTATATACATAGGATGGATAAAGAAATAGTAAAGCCAATTCTGGATAAAATTTTATTTTTATAAATTTATTTTACTTTTGGATAGTGATGTCTTCAACCTATGAGCTGAAATAATCTAGTCTAATTAATTCAGCCAAACTGGACTGAATTATATGAATTGTGTGAAGTTTTCCTTCAATGCGGGCTATTAAATGAAATATAGCAAATTACAAGGCTGATTTAATCCTGAGTTCAGGACATATGTGAAAAGAAGATAAACCTGATACAGAGTCACCAGGCCATCAGTGCTGACCAATTGTAAAGTATTGGCAATTTGAAAAGGAAAACCTAGGATAGATGCTTTTGTTGATTCGTTTTAATCGTCAGCTTATCTGCTTATTTGAACGTAGCAATAGCAATAGCACTTATATGCCACTTCACAGTGCTTTACAGCCTTCTCTAAGCAGTTTACAGAGTCAACATATTGCCTTCAAAAATCTGGGTCCTCATTTTACTGACCTCAGAAGGATGGAAGGCTAAGTCAACCTTGATCCAGTCCGGATCAAACTCCTCTGTGAGCAGAGTTAACCTGCAGTCTGCTTTCTAACCATTGCACCACTACAACTCTATAGAAAGGAAAATACATTGTATTTTTCTTTCTACAGCCACATAAATATGATGGAGAATATTTGGGGTGGGTGGGATCCAAATAGGAAAATATAAAATCAAATTCTCATCAACAAATATAAGTTAGATATCACAACTTTCTCTCTATTATTGTTCCAAATGGTTACAAGTGTTGGTCAGAACAGTAAATAGGAGCCACCCAGACCAAAATGCCTACTAATGAGATGTGATTTAGAAACATTGATTTGAGAGCATCCATCTTTATGTATACCCAGGGATTTTTCTGTAGTGGCGCCCAAAACTTCCAATTCCCTCCTAGCATATTTTTATTATCCTTTTACATGCCATGCAAAATCCATCTCAACATTTTATTATTTGGTGCTTCTTAATAATATTTGAAATGTTTTTAATTAGCTTTCGTGTTCCATTTATTTTTACTGCCCAAGGTAAAGGAAATTTCCAAGGTAAAAGAAATAAACTAAGTAGACTTCACAAGTTCTACTGCCTTCCTCTACAACTTTTATGACTTTTTGTTCTAATGTTTTTATACAAATCAAATTTGAAGCTACAGGTAGTCCTTGACTTACAACCATTCATTTAGTGACCATTTGAAGTTACAACGGCACTGAAAAAAGTGACTTATGACCAGTTTTCACACTTACATCCATTACAACGTCCCTATGTTCAATGAGATCTAAATTTGGCTACTTGGCAGTTAGCATGGACTTAAGGCAACTGCATAAGTCCCAGGGTAATGTGATCACCATTTGCAACTTTCTCATCCAGCTTCCAACAAGCAAAGTCAATGGGGAAAACCAGATTCGCTTAACGACCACACGATTCACTTAACCACTGCAGTGATTCATTTAACAATTCTGGGCAAAAAAGGTCGTAAAATGGGACACAACTCAACAATTGCCTTGCTTAACAATGGAAATTCTCGGCACAATTGTGGCTGCAAGTCGAGGACTACATGTGCTAGCGATGAATTTAGACAATAATCTTATTTATATAAAAATGAATAATGTTTCAGAGGATCAGGGTGCCTGTAGTTAACACTGCAGCAATGAATGGAGTAAGAACTCTTCCTGTATGAAAATCTCTTTTCTTCTCAACTCTTTATTTTTCTTCATTTTGCCCCATTTGCTCGGAAATAATATTGGCTGACTCCTTATTGAGTGGCAAGCAATAGATGTATCATCTCCTTAAATCAAGGCGAGCTTCAACTTGAAAAGCCACATCTGGGGTTTAAGGTGTTTCATACATGGAAACCCAGGAAGTAGAGAACAGGCAAACAAAAGAAAGGAAATAAACCAAATAGACGTGGCATAAGGATACTGGGTGTATCCTCAATCATTTCTGAAAACTTCCTGAAGCCGTAGATTAAGGGTGAATGAAAGATTTTAGCAGACGCCATGAAGTATTTTTGAATATTTATTTTTTTCCATAGGGGTTGTAAAGGTTCTTCAGTAGACATAAAAAGAAATCTAGAAGTTCTCCGTTTCCTCTCTCCCTACTTCCTACTACCAAATCTTAGTGGCAGACTAGATCAGTGTTTCTCAGTCTCGGCAAATTGAAGATGTGTGAACTTCAACTCCCAGAATTCTGGGAGTTAGAATATTCACATATCTTCAATTTGCCAAGGTTGAGAAACACTGGACTAGATAATTCATTAGCTTTCCAAGAAAGTAGGCTTTGAAAAACCTGGAGTTCATAACTAAATATTTCATGATAACCATCTGGTATTCAAACAGTAGATATCCTGTGGTTACTTTCCAGCTGTTTTTTCACTAGTTCTTCAGTATTTTGACAGCCGTGATCTGGAAGCTCCATCTCTACGAAGATTTCCCAACATATCATAGTCTGCTGAATATCCGATCTTCATCTTCCAATTGTTTCCTCCCACAAATCTCATCGGCAGAATTTTTGAAAATTTATTCATATATTATCCATAGGCTTTCTTAAAGTTCCTGGAAATTGTTCAATAAATTCCTTTGGATGTTCCTATATCTTCTCTGAGACCTCTCTTGAAGTCCATCTGTTCTCCTTTTCTGAAGAGGGGGCATCCAAGATACAACATTTCAGAAGAAACCCAACTTCCGCCAGCTTAATTCGCAGGAATCTCAAGAGCTTTGCAGACGTTGCTAAGACAATCTTCCTTAATCTTCTCTATATCATCACATTCATCCAGGCTAAAGAAAATTCTCCCTTCCTCTCATTTTTCAAAAGAAGTGTTCCAGATCCTGCCTACTGGAAGAGGAAACTAGATACGGTAGGCAAGGCCTCCATAATCACCACTGCCTCTGCTGCTTGCATTCGTAACAACTGGCGTCGTTTCTTACCGCCAAGCTGGAGTCTCTTAAGCGCTGGAATGAAGAGAGGATGGTCTGGTGTGAGAAAGGTGTCCAGATTCTACTTACAACTGTGGGGGCTTTTGCTGCCTTTGGTCTCATGATAATTGCCATTGGCACAGATTACTGGCTATATGCTCGTGCCTTCATTTGCAATACCACTAATATCTCTACTGAAGAAACGCCCCAGAAAGACAAGAAAGATCCTGGAGGACTCACCCATTCAGGTCTTTGGCGGATATGCTGTTTAGAAGGTAAGTCACCCACTCATTGAAACAGGTTCAAGAGACACAGAGTTCTACAATTGTGGAAAAGCAAGTTTAGGTAGGAAAGAGGTTTACCGTAAGATATTATAGTACTGACAAAAATATTTGTAGCTGAGTTGAGCTCAGGGGCCCTTGGTGTTCTCTGAGCTCGTTGTTTTCTTGCAGATGTTTCATTACCCAAACTAGGTAATATCATCATCATCATCATCACTATGACTTCTAGCACTGATGATGTTACTTAATTTGAGTAATGAAACATCTGAAAGAAAACACCTAGGCTCAGAGAGTACCACGGATCCCTCATATTAGAGTACATCAAACTTGGAGCAATTAATGGCCAAGTTCTCCAAGGAGACACTTTCTTTACTAGAGAATTTATCCAATAAAAGAGAAGGACTAGAGGCAGAAGACAAGAAACTACAAAAGCGTTAAACACTGCAATTATGCACTGATTAGCTGGTATAAAAACCAATATTGCTTCCACACTGGGAGGCATTGTTTTCCCCTAAATTAACTGAAAGCAGAATTAAAACAGTAGTTCTACTTTACATTTACCCTGGTGCCATATTACGCAGCAGAGCTTGTGTTCACGAGTTTCTATAATATTAAATAAGTTTGAGTCAGCAAAAGTCTCCAGCATACCTTTAATTAAGCTCCCACCTCACAGCTCCCACTTTTAATTGCATTCTATACTGTACAACATCAGCATAATTGATGAATCCTCATAAATAAATTGGGTCTTGTTCCTCTTGGGATAAGAGAATTTAAATAATTACTTTTTTCTTCTCTAAGACTTTTTTTTTTACTATAAAGAACATAAAGAAAAAGAGGAAATCAGTAATCAAAACTCCTAGAGTTCAGGGGAAAGAGAGACTGATTAATAGACATCTAAATTGCTGTTCCATTTGGAACAGGAAGCAATCAGGCAGAAGCCACAAAGAGGAAGTTTATAATTAAAGGCACAATAGTTTTGAAAAGCATCAATAATGCTTCTTCTAATCCACATCAAGGAAACTGCCCTAAATTGTATTTGATTCCTGGGAAAAGATGGAAGCTCTGAATAAAGATGGATAAATTAACAGTAAACATCTGATAACAACAGGTTGCCAATTACCACCATCTGGAATGTCGGTAAAATGCAACTGAACAAATTCCAGATTCTAGCATAGAACATGGCCTAATTACAACTGATGGAGACAAGTCTTTGGTGAGAGGTAGGCTTAATAGAATGACAGTTCAAATATCTGTCTCTTGCATTGGAAAACCACTTGCCATTCTTCTGCTCCAATCTGCCACCATTTAACACAATTTAATATTAGTCAAGCAACCCCACCTCCTCACCCCTCCAAAAAAGCCAAGATGAGATGTGGAGGTTCAACTAGACTGCCAAAATCATCAGGGAGGCTACCTCCCCGTGCCTGTATGCAGGCATTTATTCATTGGGGAAACTGTATGTCACTGAGATGATATGACAAAAGTGATCTGACAGGGAATTCTTGTAGATATCTTCGAATCTACAAGCCAACACATTTTGGCTGTTATGACAGGTATTATACTAAGTATAAATATGTATATGTTATTCATATAAAGCACTGTCTTGCTCTTGAATTCCTCACCTCACCTACATAACAGTAAACAGGCTGCCACGTTGCCTACACACATCTACTTAGAAGAGAACCTGCGTTTTCACCCTAACTTTGTCTTTCAGTGTTGTGAGCCTTCATAAGGGTAGACCCACCAGTTTTTCTGTTTTCCTTTTAGCCATCCCTGTACTGTGCGGAAAATCCATTTTCTCCATAATGGACATAATTCCCCGATTAAGGTGTTTAATTAACATACTGGTATCTGGTACAGGTAGTTCCCAACTTACAACCATCACTCACCCTGGAATTATGATCTTAAGATATTGGGGTCATAAGTTGAGGCATCATGTGACTGGACCTGATTTTTTTGGGGGGGGGGGGGGACACATTTTTTGCAGTGGTAGTTAAGCAAATGACACAATCCTTAAATGAAATCATTTTCTCCAATGGGCTTTTTTTTTTTGCCAGAAACTGGAAATAAACTCTTAAACTGGCAAACAACATCACAAATCATGGCCACATGACCCTGGGAACTGCAAACAGCAGTAAAGGGGAACCTATTGTGTCCAAGATACAATCACATGATCATGGTGTGTCTATGCATGTGTGCAGCTGTCTAACTTTGAAAATGGGGTATAAATAGCTCTGCAGATGTAGCTTGGGAAATGGTCGTTAAGCAGTCAGTCTACAAGTCAAGGACTATCTATACCCTCCAAGTGTCACTCCTATAATCTTCTAGTTGACATGGCTTATGACAACAGAATGATAGGAACTGAAGTCCAGCACGTTTGGATGCCCTCAAGTAGGAGAGGATTTATGCACATCACAAAGGGATATAATTCTTATCGTCCAGATGTTTTGGACTCCCATGTTCGTAATCCTTTGCCTCTGGTCACCCTAGCTCAGGGGCCTTCAAACTTGACCACTTTAAATTTCTACTCCAGTCATGTTAGCTCAGGAATTCTCGGAGTTGAAGTCCACAAGTTTTAAACTTGCCAAGCTTGAAGGCCTTTGCTCTAGCTGGACTAATAGGTATTGATATTCTATACATCTGATAGGCACAAGATAGCTTCTTCCTGCTTTCTCTTTTCCTATAGATGATGAAATCTTTAAAGATGGCATTTCAATGTTTTCCCAATTAAATTAAGAAGCACTTTATTTAACCTGGCTTGTTAAATTATTTTCAGTATTCTACAGTTCTTTACTAGGGTTTTACAATTTCAGTTTTACATTTGTTGTAGAAGAAATTTTGCTGGCTTTTAGCTTAAAAGGGGTACATAAACCATTAACAAGCAAGGCCTTTAAAAGAAGCAAATTAGATACAGTACGATAAGTTATGCTAGTTGCAGCTTTGAATTTAACATGCTGGTTGGGCTTCCGTTGAGGAGGAAGACAATACACAGAAAGTGATCAATTCAGTTTCAGGGATTGATTAGATAAAACACTCAAGTATGGGGTTGTAGTTATTTCTTCTTCTTTTTTTCTCGAAAACACTAAATGGAACTGCAGTTCCATCCTTTCTTGTGAAAAGAGCAGGAAGGCATTTGAGGCATCGAGTGCTCAGTGACACTGCTGTCATAGCCATCTAACCTATAGAAACTCTATCTCATTGTCTCTCCGAAATTCAGCTAAGCATCTGTTACTAGCTCCAATCCTACATGCACTTTTCTAACCCCACCTTAAAGTCACCAGAGCTAATCATCTGGAACCTTTAAGTCTTCCTTGTGAGTCGGCTCAGTAACACTTAAAGGTTATGGATGCAAAATTGATAGCATGTGCGCACTCGCTATATAAATCTTATTCTATCCACTGATGATGTAGCATGTGTTTCTCAACCCAGCAATTTTAAGACGCCTGGACTTCAAATCCCCAGAATTCCCTAGCCAGCTGGCTGGTGGGATTCTTGGAACTGAAATCCATGCATCTTAAAATCGCTGAGGCTGAGAAACATTGATATAGCTGACTGAAAAGCTCATCAAAAAGGAAACAATCGTTCCCGGTGTCACAGTCAGACATTGAAAGGTAGAATTGAGCGGGTGGGATAGCATTTAATAATGGAGGCCTGGCATAAGATACAGATCCAACATCAGCTTGGTAAACTAATTATCTTCTGTAACTCGGTGCCTCCAAATATGGGGCACGTTGTTCCCGTCACACTGATAAATGCCCTTGTAAGATTGGGGATGAGAAGGAAAGGAGCCTCATTGGCAATCCAGCATGGGGTTAATTCCAGCATGATGCCAACTAACGCTGTGCTCTAATCCCCAAACAGCTGGTAATTTGTCTCTTCCTGTTTGCAGGATTGAAGCGAGGAGTGTGTGTAAAAATCAACCATTTTCCAGAGGACACAGACTATGATCACGACAGTGCAGAATACCTCCTACGTATGTATAAATTGGTGGCTTATTCATTCTTGTATCTTGGCCTCGGCAATGCTCCGCCAACCTTGTTCTTTGGGATGTCTGGAATGCTACGGCATCCTACCATAGGGAAGAGACAGTGGGATGGGCTCAGCAGTTTAGATGCTGGAGTTTTCAGCTGGAAAGCCAGCAGCCCAGGTTCGAGACCCTAGTGCCACAGGATGGGGTGAGTTCCCATCCTTGCTCCAGCTCCCGTCAGCATAGTAATTTGAAAGCAGGTAAATGCGAAAAATAGATACCAGTTCTGTGGGAAGCTAACAGAGCTCCATTGCGTCATGCTGGTCACATGTCTGTGGAAATGTCTTGGTAAAATGCTGGCTCAGTGGCCTTGAATTGGAGATGAATACCACCCCCTGTAGCAACGTAACGACTAGCGGAGTAAAGTCCGCAGGGACCACCATAGGGCTACTGAGCCTCATAGATGTATTGGTTTCCTTTCCTGTAAAAGAATATAATCTTTGTTTTAGTGGTGATGGAGCGTAGATGTCTTTGCAGACTGTCATATTGCAGAGAAGGCTCCTCTTTTGAGGCTAAAAATGCCTGGCAAAGCATAAAGAAACCATAGCAACATAGATACAGCTCTTTCAAACTTCTGAGTAGTCTAGTACGACTTCTCATGAGTCTCCTTCTGCTATCACCACCCACCTTCCACCCGCATGGCCATCCCACCCCCCAATAGCAAAAGCAGGGCTGGCATCTTCATTATGTGACTTATGCTTCAGAGTAAGGCTCCAGCCAAATTACAGGTATGGCCACTTAGTTGCTTTCTGTATGCCAAAGGAAAAGGGGAAGATCCATATTGCTCCCTTCTTGGTTTCTCTCCCTTTCCTGCAGTCTTCCAATATTAAACTTTTACCTCCTAAGTCAAAAAGCAAAGGACGCCAATATTTGCAGAGGAAGTTAACCCATGGTGAGGTCAGCGAGAGATAATATGCTTATATAGTCAATTGCAAAAGAATAATTATTTTAAGCCACTGATCTAAGAGCTAAATTCCAGATGCAAAAAAAAACCCAAGACCTTGGATATTGCCAGATGTGGGACAAAAGTTATCGTTTTCCATCTATATCTATAAAGAAGCCATATAACAATAAAAGGCAATTTTTACACATTCTAAAATTACACCTCCATATCCAAAACCTCAGCATACATCTGCCGAACACAATCAAAACAAGCATCAGTTATAAGAAACATCTGGTTGGGTATATCAGAGACCTGCTTATGTATAGTTCTTCTTTAAAACTCACTTTCTGTTTTAGTGGGTTTTTTTCTCCAAAATGCAGAAGGAGCTTGTTAGATCCTCTTTGGAAAAGAATTCAACATCTTCAATCATACAGTAGAAAAAAATTCTGATATATATGTATTTCGGCGGGGGGAGGGATAAATTTGCTCATCAGAACTTCACTAATGATGGATCTTAGGGCCTGATTTCTAATCCTAAATTTAATGTCTAGGCAGGCTTGGGTAAATAAATGGGGTAAATAAATTTATGCTAATTTGTAAATTAGTAATCAGTATTCTGCTGGCTTTATCTTGATTCAGAAGCTAAGCAAGATCAAAGCTAGTTAATACTTCAGTGTGTGTTCATTGGGGAATTGCAGAGCTACAGGCTAGACAAGGAAGTTAAAAACCTTTGCAGAAAGTGCCTGAATCACATCTTTTCTGAAAAGTTGCCAAGAAAAGTGTGTGCCTTTATTCAACAAATCACAGAAGTTGAGCTTCTCTTAGCAGAAATGTCACTTTTATTCACTATTTATGCAGGGTGAAGAATACACTATTCATGTAATATAATCAATATTATCCTACTTGCTAGTGAATCTTGTTTATACACATTGTTGTTACAAAGCTGCATTTAAAATGCTGTTTAAAGAGCATTTCAGGTTTTCATGTAACTACAGGTAATCCTCGGCTTATGACCACAATTGGGACCAGAATTTCCATTGCTAAGCAAGGAAGCTTTAAGTGGGTTGTCCCCATTTTTACAACCTTTTCTGTCATGGTTGTTAAGTGAATCACTGCACATCTTAAGGGGTCACTAAACGAAACTGATTTTGTCAGAAGCCTACTGGGAAGACCACAAACGGAGATCACAGGACCCTGGACAGCTCCAGGGTTGGTTGTCAATCACCCAAATTTTGATCATGTGACCATGGGGATGCTGCAACAGTCATTAAGTTTGACGGCGAACTGTTAAGTCACTTCAATGTTTTTGTAATTTCAAATGGTCGCTAGAGTTAGAGTTCCTCTTTCCCAGACATTAAGAGACAAATCAAAGCACAGCCATTTTTCAGCTTTTGCAGTACATACATACACATAAAATCAGTGTGAATGTTCCTTTTTTATTTTTAAGATTCATCAGGAAACAAAATTATCTAGATTTAGGAATGAATGCATAAACTGACCTACAACTGAAATAAGAGTGGTGGTTGCCCTTTCGTTGGCTGAGGAAGGGCCTCCAACGGCGCCTCCTTTCTTCCATTTCATTCAACCAAATTTTGATTTGCTTCTTGGTCAAGCACAGGGTGTGAGCAATCTCTGTCCTCTGCCTGTGGGTCAGATAGCAACTGAAGTAGGCGTAAACCTAATGGAATGTTTGATGTTGTGGTTAAGGCACAATGCTAGAAATCAGGAGACTGGGAGTTCTGGTTGCACCTTAGGCCCAAAGCTATCTGTTTGGTCTTGGGCCAGCCATTTCCTCCCAAACCTAGGAAGGAGACAATGGCAAATCACTTCCAAAACCTTGACATGAAAAAACTGCAGGAACTAACCCAAGCAGTTGCCAGAATCAGCACCAATCCAAAAGAACCCCTCCAAAAAAGAAATCCATCTAATGCCTTAGGCTATGAAGAAGTCACAAGGCTTCTTGAACCCAAAAGCTTTGGGTTCAGCCTGTGATTTTAGAGCATCACTCTAAGACAGGGATCTGCAACCTTGGCAACTTTAAGCCTGGCAGACTTCAACTCGCCAAATTCCCCAGCTTTGCTGGCCCAGAATTCCCCAGCTTTGTTGGCTGGAGAATTCTGGGAGTTGAAGTCTGCCAGGCTTAAAGTTTCCAAAGTGGGAGACCCCTGCTCTAAGAAGCAAAGGATAGGTCATATGAGGAAGTCCTTGACTTACAAGTCCTCGAGCCTCAAAATTTATGTTGCTCAGTAAAACATTTGTTAAATGAGTTTTGCTCCATTTTACAACCTTTCTTGCCGTAATTGTTCAGGGAATCACTGCAGTTATTAAGTTAGTAACTCAGTTGTTAATGGCTTCCCCATTGACTTTGCTTGTCAGAAGATCACAAAAGGGGATCACATGTTCTAGGGACACAGGAATGATCATAAATATAAATAAACATCATATAACCATCAGGATGTTGCAATGGTCATAAGCGTGAAAAAAATGTCATGTCATTTTTTTCAGTGCCATTGTAACTTTGAGCAGTCACCAAATGAACTCTTATAAGTTAAGGATTATTTGTATTTTCCTAATACTTGCTGCATACCATTTTTCAAAGCCATCTCCATACCCTTCTACAGCTATAAAGAATAATTTCCCCCATCCTGCTATTTTCCAAATATGCCAGGCTTCATCTATCTGAATTACCAAACCAATCTGACTGTCTACAGTAAAATCTGTTGATTTAATACTGCGTGTGCTTCCCCTCTCTGTTAAACACTTCAAGCATTTTTTCTAAAGTGTTTAGAATCTATCATGTGTGTCATTATTATAATCCTAGGATCCTTTGAAAACTCCCATAAAAATTGTGTTATCTATATTCTATTAACATTTTCTGCCTCTTTGTCTGCTTGAAACCTTCAATTGGTCCAAATGCTACGTCATAGTGCAAAAATATTTGAATCAGATACCTCAAGTCCATCAACGTAAAGAATGCGTACAAAATCTGGTTCTCTACTCCTATGTAAAATTTCAAGGATCTTCACACTTTTCATAAAAATTGTGACTACTGCAGTGTGGACAGAGTCAGCCACAGTTGTGTGATCATCATCTCCAAATACTCCTTGCCAGTTTCCCACAAAAGGAAGATCAATGGGGAAACCAGCAGGAAGTCAGAAATCATTCCAGCTCTCATTTTTTTGCCTACCTGTGGTCATCCTGTTTCTCAGTTTAAGTAAGGAAATATCTCTGAAAGGATAACTCAATGGGTTATCCAATTAATTCTAAAATGCAGTCAGTGAGATTGAAGCAGAGAAGTAAGAGTATTTACGGATTTGGCTCAGCTTTTTCTGAACCTAAGGAATTAGGATCTTTGATTCCATTAAGACTATCTACTGGTTTAAGTTTTGCTCCCTCACGTTTTGAGAAATTCATTTAGTAACAGTCTCAACAATTCAGTTCACGGGATTCTTTTGGATATAAAAGACTGGGGATGTAACCCTGAGGGTTCTCCACTTGGCCAAATTTAAACACTCTCCATCACCCCTGTTGCTGCAAGAACATTTGCTAGCATAAGCTGGATGGCCTCTGTTGCCAACTCCTATTCTGCCACGGTAGTGGAGCTGGCAATTGGAGCTGTTTTGCATATTTATTGTGGGCCAAACTTAGGAAAGAGAGAGTAGGTGTAGCGGTTAAAGGCACCTGCTTGAGGACAAGGAACCCTGGAGTTCTAGTCCCACCTGAGGCACAAATCCAGCTCAGTCACCTTGAGCCAGTCAGTCCCTCTCAGCTCTAGGAAGGAAGCAATGGCTAACCACTCCTGAAGAACCTTGCCAAGAAAACTGTAGGACCAGCCAACGCCCTTCCTCTTATCAGGGATAAATTTATCCAATTAAAATGGACTAAATTCTTACCATCTCCAGCTACGTGTAAAGAACAGGTTGGGAAAGGGTCCCTAGTTGGTCTGAATGACTGGAAATTCATGAACAGCAAGCCCGCTCGCTTACTTGCATGTTAACTATTTTGAAGTAAATGTTTCATGTGACGTTGCAATTGTATAAAATTAGATTAGTTCTACAAAAGACAAAGTGTATTAACCTGTATGGAGACCGCTCTGCCCAGTGATAAGACTCAAAACTGCATCCCAGCAGTCACAACTACAATTCCTATCCAGATTTAGAGTAATCCTAACAGAGTTATGAATCCTGAGTGAAATAACTTTTTCATATCAAAAACAAGTGAGCAATTTCCATCATCCGACTATCAGAATGCCTTTACCAACCCATGAAATACAGTCCAAAAAAGAGAGTTTCAAGCCAACTTTGAGGGCTTGGCTTCGCATCAATGTTCAGTTGCAAATTCCTTACTACTCATTTCTGTCTGTTTTTCTGGCACAAGAAGGAATAAACATCGTTTGCAACATCCAGTGATTCCTGTACAATATTAAGAACAACCAAACTTTTAAAAAAGGCATTCGGAGATTTAGAATATAAAACTGGATGTCTCTAGTTCATTGTCATCTTTTCACAGAGACTCTGTAATTTTGCCATTTGTGCTTGGGGCCTGCCATGTAAATGAAACAAACTTTATGGAGGCCATAGTTAGCTAACATAATCCATGAGATGAATTTTATAGCGTTGCTCATGAGGACTGCTCCAAAGGGTTTGTGCAGATTCCATGCTTCAGAGTAAGGGTGGGACCCTTCTATGACTTGTGGACTTCAACTCCCTGAATTCCTGAGCCAGCCATGTTAGCTCAGGAATTCTGGGAGTTGAAGTCCATAAGTCATAAGGGGCCACCTCTGTTTTAGTATTTGTAGATATTGATAGCCTGACAAAACTAAAACTTAGAGCATGTGCACAGATTATCACCCAATATCATGAATAAGACTAGCTCAAAATTGTCTCTAGTTTGCCAATTTCCCGTGCATAAAATTTTTGCTCTGATACATATTTTGTGTTGTTTTATATTCTTCTTTTCCTTCCTTCCTTCCTTCTCACCCCTGCTCCCTCAGGAGTGGTACGAGCCTCAAGCATCTTTCCTATCCTAAGTGCTCTTTTGCTGTTGCTGGGTGGGTTCTGCGTAGCTGCCAGCCGTGTCTACAAGTCGAAGCGCAACATTATTCTAGGTGCTGGCATCCTGTTTGTTGCTGCAGGTAAGTTGTATAGTGAGGATAATACAGGTCGTCCTCGACTTACGATCACAATCGGGACCGCAACATTAGTCACTAAGTGATGTGGCCATTAAGTGAGTCCTCAAGTGATTGTGTCTAATTTTACTACCTTTTTCACTTTGTTGAGTGAATCTAGCTTCCCCCATTGTCTTTGCTTGTTGGAAGCCAGCTGGGGAAGGTTGCAAATGGTGATTAAATGGGATAATGCAACCATCATAAATACATGTTGGTTGCCAAGCAACCAAATAGCGATCATGTCACCATGGGGACAATGCAACCGTCTTTAAGTGCAAGGACTGCTTCCAAGTCATTTTTTTCAACACCATCATCACTTTGAATGAATGGTCGTAAGTCAAGAACTGCCTGTACAGTAAGTAGATGCAAACGGTCCCTCTCTGGATCTCTAGAGAGATTAATGCCATAGTCTGTTCAGCAGAACTCTGTCTGTCAACCAAACACTTTATCCTGTAATCCACTTCTCCTGATCCATTACTTGCTTTGTTTATACCACTTCATGCATCCTTCTTCAGCTTCACAATTATCACCACTTTTCCCTTCTGGTTGTGTTGTGACAACAGCAATCAGAAATGTAATTGGCAATTTTAGGAAATTCAGGCTTGGTTTATCTGAATGGGTCTAGAATGGGAGGAAGCCATTTTGATTTCATATGCTTTTCCATGTGTCTCTGGAAACTTTCAGCCATCCAAGTCATGGTGCTTTTTTCAAAAGGCAACTGGACTTTGTTTTTCCTTGAAGACATTTTGCTTCTTATCTAAGAAGCTTCTTCACTTCTGAAGAAGACATTATAGCCATCAATCATCACACTGCTGACTCATCTAGAACAGCGGGGGGCGGGGCTATGTGAGGGTGCTTTTTGTGGATTTTAGTTCTGCATTTAAGCAATTCTTCTGCATAGATTAGTGTCTAAATTTCTGGACCTTGGACTTTCTTATTCAATCTGCCTTTGGATTATGGATTTCCTGTCTGGCTGCTCATAGAGGGTCAGATTAGGTAATCATACCCCTTCAGCCCTTATTCTTAACACTGGTACAGCACAGGGTTGCATGTTGAATCCCTTACTCTATACTCTTTATGTGCATGGCTGCATTCCCACTCACGCTAGTAATACTATTGTTAAATTTGCAGATGATACAACAGTGGTGGGACTCATCTCTGGGAGGGGGATGAATCTGTCTACCAAGATGAGGTGGACCGGTTGCTTTCATGGTGTGGAGACAATAATTTGGTCCTCAATACCAATAAAACCAAGGAGCTCGTAGTGTATTCATGTACATACTTCTAATACCACATTTCTATTGGTTAGTCCACATAGCTTAACGATTGGTTAATAATGACAGTTTTGGATTGGCTGCCTAAGCGGCAGGAAGTTTAAATAAATGCCATTGGTTGCGAGCCGCAAGCAGCTGCTATAAAAAGGGCTGCCACGGCTCGACTTCAGTTGAAGTTACTGGTTGCTAATAAAGAGCTGAATTCAACTCCGGTCTTCGAGTCTGCTTTGTCCTGGCGATAGAACAGAGCTTATAGTGGATTATAGAAGGAACAGATCAGACATCAAGCCCTTGCTTATCAATGGAGACCGAGTGGAGCAAGTGGCCAGTTTTAAGTTTCTGGGTGTTACCCTAAAAGAGGACCTGACCTGGGGTGCCCACATTGCAGCCCTGGTCAAAGGGGCCCAGCAGAGATTATATTACCTGAGACTTCTCAGAAAACAACAACTGAATGGAAAACTGCTGGTGACCTTCTACCGCTGCACCACTGAGAGCATTTTAACATACTGCACCTCTGCATGGTTTGCCAATTGCACCATGGCAGATAGGAAAGCACTCCAGGGGGTTAATGTCATTGCCCAGAAGATCATTGGTTGCCCTCTCCCCTCTTTGGAAGAGCTTTATAATTCCCGCTGTCTTAAGAAAGTTCAAAACATTCTCAAAGATCCATTTCATCCTGGGAACCCTTTTTTTGAACTATTACTATCTGGCAGACGGTACAGAATAATAAAAACAAGGACAAATAGGCTGAAAAACAGCTTCTATCCCAGGGCAGTAGCTCTTTGGAATTCTGCTGTATAGTGCAGTATTGGTGCATTGTCGGGGGGTTTCAGTTCAGTGTATGGAGGGTGAAGGATGTGTGTTTGTCTTTATTTTCATGGTCATGGTCATGATGTGCACTGAAGACGGTGTTTGATTTCATTGTACTATGTGCAATGTCAATAAAGTAAAGTAAACTAAACTAAAAAAGCTTCTTGGATGAGAAGCAAAACGTCTTTGAAGAAAATCAAAGTCCAGTTGCCTTTTGAAAAAGCACAATTGGAACATTTCTATTTGTCCTTTCCTGCTCGATATGAAAGGCCTAACTTTAGCCAGAGCTACAAGTTAAGGGTTACAATATAAATGCACTATAGAGCCCAGTGGTTTTACTGTATGAAGGGGCTGGGCCCATAAGTCACATTATTTCATGCTCATAGACACGTCATGTTTTTTTCCATCTTCCTGCTCTGTATTTATTCATCGTTCATCCTTCTTATACTTGTCTATTTATCTACCTCTTCCTTTTCCAGCCCTGTAAATAAGGTAAGGACTTTAAACGACCTCCGGGGCCCTTTTATTTTCCTAATCCTTCCATTGTATACATCCAAACGGTAATTAATCCTCTATCTTTCCATTCAACCAGGCATATAATCAAAATCTGCATCCTGGCACTTATCAGCAGGACCCAAAGGGAAGCCAGGAACTAAAGTCAAGGACTACCAAGTACCTATAGAAACCGCTGATGCAGAAAAATGTTTGCCATATTTCCTATAGGGATCTTAGTGCACTATGAGCTTGGTGCTTTTTTTTTTTTTTTGCAGGCGTTTCATTACCCAATTAGGTCACATCGTCAATGACGCAAACCCCACACCCTTCTAACACTGATGATGTTACCAAGTTGAGTAATGAAACGTCTCCAAGAAAATCACAAAGCTCAGAGAGTAGCAAGGACCCCACAGTCCAACCCTGAGCTACTAATGTTCTTCTATCAGCATTTTTTTCTGAATAGGAGAATTAAAGGCCAATTTCACTCTGTGTGCGTGAGAGAGAGAGAGAGAAAGAGGAGGGTGGGGGGAGAATGAGTGTGTCTTTCTCTATCATCTAGGGTAGGGTATGCAATCCATGGATCGTATTTTTTGCAGCTTTCAAAGCTTCTCAGATTGCACTACCCAAATAAGTAGGCAATTACTAAATTATACCAGCATGCTTTTCAGCTTTTAAAAAACAAAAGTAAAATTATTGTATTACTATCCAATAGGCTTAGTAAGCCTATTTTTACTTTAAAAAAAAAAACCTATACCCCTCCCACCAAAGAGGGAGAGAAAAGAGTTCAGAAGTTTTTGTCCTGTATCTCAGTGGTCCCCAACCACCGGGCCCCAGACCGGTACCGGTCCGTGGATCATTTTGTACCAGGCCGCCTATTTTGCTTGGGCGCCGCCATCTTGTTTTGACGGCGCTTGAGAAAGTGCTTCCGGGTGAGCTTGTTGGTCGTCGGTTGGAAAGCAGCGTTTGGGTGCTGAAGGAATCCTTGCGCCTTAGTTTTGTCGAAGGGGGGAGGCGGCTTCGAACAAAGAGCTGTCCTGATGGCAGTGGAGTCTCGCGTTACACAGGAGATTAAGGAGGAGTTGAAGGTGGCCGGGAGAAGCGAGGGACGGTTGGCTGGCCGGTCGCTCAGCTCGCCTTGCCTTGGTCGTGCGTGCTGATGCCGGTACTGGTCCGTGGATCATTTTGTACATTTTGTACCAGGCTGTGGTACAAAAAGGGTTGGGGGCCACTGCTGTCTCTTAAAGGGATAGTTATCAGCCACCAATACAAATGAAATAAAATCAACAATTGCCAGAGATGCTTTAATCTGAAGCTATGCAGCTACAGTCCTGCTATTGAATTATCATATGTTTGACTTATCACCACAATTAGGACCAGAATTTCCATTGCTAACCAAGGCAGTTCTTAAATGAGTGGCATCCAATTTTATGACCTGTTTTTGCCGCAGTTGTTAAGCAGATCCCTTGAATCTTGGGGTTGTTAAGCAAATCTGCCTTTCCCCTTCGACTTTGCTTATTGGCCACCAACTGGGAAAGTCACAAATGGGAATCCCATGACTCTGGGACACAGCAACTGTCATAATTACATCCCAAATGCCAAGTCCCTGAATTTCAATTATGTGACTATGGAGATGCTGCATTACAGGGAACCCTGAATTTACAACCACAGTTGAGCCCAAAATTTCTTTTGACAAATGAAACATTTCTTAGTGGGATTTGCCCCATTTTATGACCTTTCTTGCCACAGTTGTTAAGTGAAGTACTGCATTTGTGAAGTTAGTAATCTGGTTAAGTGAATCTGGCTTCTGCATTGACTGCAATTGTCATAAATACATTCCTTTTGCAAGGTGGCTCAATTCTGATCACGTGACCATGGGGTCACGTGCAACAGTCATGTGTGAAAGTCATAAATAATAAGAGTAGAGTAGAGTAGAACAGAATATAGAATAGAGTAGAATAGAACAGAACAGAATATAGAACAGAACAGAATATAGAATAGAATAGAATAGAATAGAATAGAATAGAATAGAATAGAACAGAGAGTAGAGTAGAGTAGAGTAGAGTAGAGTAGAGTAGAGTAGAACAGAATATAGAATAGAATAGAAATAGAAATTAGAAATTAAATTCTTTATTGGCCAAGTATGTTTGGACACTCAAGGAATTTGTCTCCAGTGCATAAGCTCTCAGTGTACATACAAGCAACAAGTGATAAATCATGATCATAATCATAAAATATAATCATCATAAATCATAAGATACAACACTGAGAGTCATAGGATACTAAATAAGCAATCAATACAAATCATATTAGGATACTAAATTAAACGACTAAAGTCATAAAATATTAGCAACAAAGTTATAGTCATAAGAACATAAGGAGATAGATAATAGGAAAAATGAGAATAATAATTGTAATACAGCCTTAGTAGGTAGTTTGACTGTTGCGGGAATTGGTTGTTTAGCAGAGTAATAGCATAGGGGGGACGGATACTGTCCTTGTGTCTATACTTATTTTGGCATTCAATGACCTATAACGTCATCTTGAGAGAAGTTGAAACAGTTTATGTGCAGTATGTGAAGGGACCGTAGATTTTTTCACAGCCTTTTTATAGCTCGTGCAGAATCCTCAATGGAAGGCAGGCTGGTAGCAATTGCTTTTTCTGCAGTCCTAATTGTCCATTGAAGTCTGTGTCTGTCTTGTTTGGTTTCAGTGTCAAACCAGACAGTTATAAAGCTGCAAATGACAGACTCAAAATAATTCCTCTATAGAACTGTATCAGCAGCTCCTTGGGCAGTCTAAGTTGGCACAGGAAGAACACTCTTTGTTGTGCTTTTTTGATGACATATTTGATATTAGGTGTCCATTATGTCTTGAGATATTATAGAGCCTGGAAAGTTGGAGGTCTCCACTGTAGATACTGCACTCCCTAGTATTGTAAGAGGTGGTAAAATGGGAGGGATCCTTCTAAAACCTACTATCATAAGTCAGTTTTTTCAATGCCGTCGTAACTTTAAAAGTCATTAAATGAATTAGTGTGAGTCAAGGACTACCTGTAGTTGTAAATGCAAAGATTGTTTGCAAGTCATTTTTTTTTAGTGCCGTTGTAACCTCAAATGGTTGCTAAACTAATGGTTGCAAGTTGAGGACTACTGGTTTAGGGTTCTTCCTCTTTCTCTCTCTTTTTTTTAAATCAGTCCATCCCCAACCTCTCTCCTTGTTCTTCTGTGCCACAGGCCTCAGTAACATCATTGGCGTAATCGTCTACATCTCGGCCAATGCTGGTGATCCCGGCACAAAACGTGACGATGAGAAGAAGAGCCACTATTCTTACGGCTGGTCCTTTTATTTCGGTGGCCTTTCCTTCATCCTGGCTGAGATGATTGGTGTGCTGGCGGTTAATATATACATTGAGAAGAACCGCGAGGCCCATTGCAAAAGCCGCACAGAACTCTTGAAGAATCCTTCTTCCTCCTCCTCAGCCATCTTGCGCCTACCCAGTTACCGTTTCCGATACCGCCGCCGGTCACGTTCCAGCTCCCGCTCCACCGAGCCCTCCCAGTCTCGAGAAACCTCCCCCGTTGGCCTGAAGGGCTTCCCTTCCACCGACATCTCTATGTACACACTGTCTAGGGACCCGTCCAAGGCCAACGTCAGTTCCCTTTACGGCGGTGCCAGTGAGACCGCCTCCACAGGGGCAACGACCTCCGGGGTGACCGGAACTGGTGGCGGATTCTTACAGTTGCACAACACCTTCCCCAAAGATCCTGGAGTGACAGTCACCGTGACTGGGCCTGGGGTAGCAGGAGCCACTGGTACCCTGGGTAAAGATGCCTCCTCCAACACCAACACACTCAACAGGAAGACCACGCCAGTGTAGGGATGGACTTAAGAGAGGAGAGGGCCTGGGAAGGGGAAAAGGGGAAGAAAAAATACTGCTCAGAGGACATCAGGCGAGTCAGAATGTTGAGAAGCAAGAAACCAATCCATCCAGTAAGCATTTTTCTTGCTTGCTTTGCTTTGCTTTGCTCCTTCATCCCTTCTCTTCCCCTCCTTCCTCCCCTTTCCACTCCTCTCCCTCTTCCCTCCTCTCTTTCCCCTCAGCTCCTCTCCTTCTCCCCTCCTTCCTCTCCTTTCCACTCCTCTCTCTTACCTCCTTCATCTCCTCTTCTCCCTCTCCTCTCCTTCTGCTTCTTTCCACTCTTCTCCTTCTTCCCTCCCCGTCTTCCATTCCTCTCCTTCTTCCCTCTCCTCTCTCCCCTCCCTTCCTCTCCTCTCTTCCCCCCCCTCCCCTGTCCTCTCTCCTCTCCTTCTTCCCTCCCCTTCTTCCTGTCCTCTCCCTCTCCTCCCTGCATCTCCCCTCGCCTCCCCCCTCTCTTTTCCACTCCTCTCCTTCTTCCCTTCCCACTTTCCTCTCTGCTCCTCTCTTTCTTTCCTTCCTTTCCTTTCCTCTCTCTCTCTCCACTCCCTTCCTTTATCTCCTCCGATCTTTCCTCTCCTTTCCCCTCCTCTCCATTCAACTACCTAACCAGGAATTCACTTCCTCTGGTAATGGAAAGGTAATTCCCCCAACCACAGGATCCACAATCACAATTTTAGTGGAACAGAGATGAAGGGGTCAGGCTAGGCTCACCCAGGGGCTTTCAAGAAAGGGGTGCAGGGATCGCCTGTTCTTATTACCCAGATCAAAAGAAATTATTCAAACATCCCAGTCCTTTCGAGCGGGCATGTGGAGGAGAACCAGAACTGATCCTGGACGACCCAAAAGCAATGCTGTGATTATTTACTCCGTAGTCGTGGAGAAGAAAGGTAAAATTCTTCACCCACAGCCTGCCAGGGGACAAGTGTAGACGAAGGCCCAGCCCCCACTCCTAAGCCTCCTACAAACAGCTTCCACAGCATACTGTGCCAAATTTGGGGCTGCAGTGTAGATCAAGAGATTATTTGTTTCCTCCAGCGGGAAAAGGAAACCCTCTCTTCCACTGCAGCTTAATTAAGGGCTGACAAAAGTTTGTGCCAAAACAGTGCTGGAGAAAAGTACAAAAAACAAAAACAAAAAAAAAGGGTGGGTGGGTTTGAAAATCTAAATGGGCCTACTGCCCCCTAGTGGTTGACAGAAGTATTTCGAACCCACTAGCTTTGCCATATATAACCTTCCTTTTTATCCTTGACTTTGGCCCAACTCTTAAGACCGAGCCATAGCTTTTCCTGAGATGAAGCTGCCTCTGGAGAAGAGGGAATCCTTGCTGTATTATAAAATTGTCCCTTGTCCATATTGAAGTGACATTCTGCCAATTATTAGTCCTGTGGTTTGTCTTGTCCACCCCACAGAGCAGCCTTCCCCAGACACGGTCAACCATAGTTCCCTAGTTGTCAGACGACATAATGGGAGATCTGATTCATCACATCTAGAAGAAAGCTGGTTGGAGAAGGCTGCTGCAGTAGAACGGCTGACAGATTTTTCCCAATGTTGTTATCTTCTTTTCTACATCTGGAAGAACTTTAAACAAAGAAACAGAGATGGTTTATATCTCTGCTCAGTCCTACTGACCCCAGAATCAGCTTCCTAGGAAGACTTTTTACATATATGATAAATTTATAAGTGCACAGACACAAATATACGCAGAGAGATATTTATGAAGAGACTATTGAAATTATTGTGATGTTTCATAGGACTTGGTTAATTAAACTTTTGGTCAGTAGTGAAACACAGGATCTTCCTTACCCTCATATTTCCTTCACTGGTGGATATTTTCCCTGAATCTGGAAATCCTCACTGCCAACCTCGTATCTCCTTGTTACACCATTGCATTGGATCCCATAAAAGTCAGTGCAGTGTTTTTCAACTTTGGCAATTTTAAGATGCATAGACTTCAACTCCCAGAATTCCCCAGCCAAACCTACTGGTTGGGGAATTCTGGGAGTTGAAGTCTGTGCATCTTAAAGTTGCCAAGATTGAAAAACACTGCTCTAGTGTATAATTTATATACCACTAACCCATCGTCCACTTAGCGACATTCTCACCCAAAGTTTATTTTGGCTACAAAGCAAAAAGCTGAAAGTATTATACCAAGACTATTAAAGCCTATGTGAGTTGACTGACAATCAGGTCAACCCGCATAGGCTTTAATTGTTTTTTTTTTTTACTTTTTTATACTGACCCTAAAACACGGACTCAGGGAAGGTTTGGTAAATAGATATTAATAAAATGGAGAATGGAAATGGATTGGAAGAGAAGCTGGTAACATTCCAAAATTAAATGTAAATTAAAAGATGGATCACCAGGATCTTATTTCTCCTTCCATGAATGAGAAGTACTATAGACCAAATGATCCACATTCTGCAATATGTTAAACAAATATTCAAATCAGCTGAAACTACATAGGCAGCCCACGAAGGCTGTTGCTATCTTGCTTAGTTAATAAGTATAATTAGAAGCAGTAGAATTCTGACTAAGCAAGTTTACTGTCTGATTGTTCAGTGAATTAGTATCATTCTGGCCACCGAATTTTGCTTTGGAATTCACAGGTTACAGAATTAATAGCAAAGTCCTATTTGTCTTTACTATATTAGCCCTACTTCTAATGGGGCTTATCCCCTTGTAAGCAAGTTTAAGATTGCAACTCTGGGGGTGGGGTTGTCACTCATGCAGAATTCCAGGCCAGAAGAGAAGGTGATTTAACTCAGTTACTCATCATGACACCATTGGAATCACCTGAAGAACCAGGTTAGAGATAAATTATACAGTTAGAACAATTAATCAGTGGAACAACTTGCCTCCAGAAGTTATGGCTGCTCCAACACTGGAGGTTTCTAAGAAGAGATCGGACAACCATTTGCCTGAAATGGTGTAGGGTTTCCTGCTTGAGCAAGGGGTTGGACTAGAAGACCTCCAAGGTCCCTTCCAACTCTGTTATTCTGTTATGCTGTTAAATTATCATGGAGAAAATCTATCTGTGTGGTTGCTTGGAATAAAAAATGACTTGATGGCATAATATCAATCAATCACTTGTCATGAAGAGTAACTAAACCTTTGAACCATTTATTGTTTGGGTTATAGAAACACAGTTTGCCAAGATGTTCATTAGGGACATGCTTTGTTCTTTCAGTAGCTAATATTATGGGAATCTGAAAAACAGTGAGAAACTGTTTACTGTTTCTTCTAGCCTTTTGAGAACTAGTATTTTTTTCTCATATGTTTTAATGAAAATGTATTATTCTTTGTTTGGAGGCAGGTCTTAGAAAATGTAGAGAAGGATGAGATTTTTTTTCATTCTTTTAGTGACAATGATATCATTTTTTAAAAACTCTTCAGAAAGAAGGACATTTAAAATGTGGAAAGAGAAAGGGAACACTGTTCAGTGGAAAAGCATCATCTGTTCCAAGTTTTTCTGTATAAAGCGGGTTTCGTATTTTTTAAAAAAGTGTTCAAAATACAAGAACAAAACACTGGCAAAAATCCAGTGAGTGTGCTACACAGAGAAACTCATAGCTGAAGGGAAAAACAGTAGAAACATTAACAACGAAAACACTTGTCTGTCTGTCATAATAGCAACAAACAAATGCATGGATTTTTACTGGAATCTACCTTTCAAATAAAGTCCTATGAAAACACTTTGTGGATAGATGTTATTGAAGGGAGAGAGAAGCATATCCAAACTGTGGGTGGTAGAAGGGCTAACACACGTTTTGTGCCTTGAGAATAGATTACTTATTCAGGGGGGTCTGTGAAAGAAAGCCTTGGATTTAACTAGTGTTTACAAAGTAGGGTGAAAAAATGTCAAGATGGAAGCTGCAGTGATACGATTGAAAATCTGTTTTTTTTTTAAATGTGCACATACAAAACAGATATAGCTTTAATTACAGCTGTTGAGGATACCTAGTTGGGTTTTTTTGACCCACAGACACCTCGGCAATGTTCTGACATAAAAAACAAATGTTAGTCTGTCTAGAATGGATCTGGCTGGTTGATAGAGCAAGATTAGTGCATTTGTCACTGTGCATTAGTGCATATGTCTCATACACATATTATCCAGCTTATTTTTCCTTCACACCTTCAGGTGTCTCAAAGTTGACTCTCTCATTGCCTCCAAATAAGTCATTATCAGTAAATGTTTCTGGTAATAGCCATCATACCAGCAGATGAGCTGGGCTCTGTGTCTCTCCACACTGACATGTGTCTCTTAGTGTTGAACTTCCTACATTATTTAGAGAGGGTGGTGAACAGCGGTGGGATTCAAAAATTTTTACTATCGGTTCTGTGGACATAGCGTGGTGGGCATGGCAGGAGAAGGATATTGCAAAATCTCCATTCCCACCCCACTCCTGGGGGAAGGTTACTTCAAAATCCCATTCCCTTCCCACCCCACTAACCTGCTTTCCAGCAGGGCAACAAAAGAAGAGCCATCCAATCAGCTGGAACTCAGGAAGCAGAGAATAATAGAAGGGGTCAGTCCAGTCAGACGTGGTATTTGCTGATTCTCCAAACTACTCAAAATTTCCACTACCGGTTCTCCAGAACTGGTCAGAAGTGATGAACCACTTTTTTGATTATTCAAGTCATACTACAAGCCAGTCTCTTAGTTTTTACGTCCCTACTTCCCATTTATTTATGTCTGGACTTTAAAGCACTATGTGACTTCCATGGACTGCCAAAAACAATGCATTTTAAAAATATAACAGTTTCACTGCTGAAGTGCTGACAGGCAAAGATGAACATTATTTTAAAAAGCAGCAGGAAAAAGAAATTTTAAAAAATTAAGTTTTCTATAGGTCCTGCCAAATGAAGGAATCATAAAAGTGACTTCATCTGCCTTTTTTTTTTTTAGAGGATCAGATTGTGCGTGTGATTACCATAGCACCCCAATGATATTTGAAAGA